AAAAAGTGTCAAATACACTGTGCAAGTATAGGACAAGTCTATAATTTTTGTAAAAATTCTTAAAAGAGAGAATTATTTTCCTTAAGTGACAAGTTGGCCACGCTAAAGGCAATGTCATCTGAGATTCCTGGAGGAATTTCAAAACTTTCAAGTCTAAGAACATACTACACTAAAAACAATTCCTTTTGTCTGCAGCAGCTTTTCCACTCTAAATGAGTATCCTAACGGAATAAAATCTGAAGAAAAAAAAATCTAACTTTTATCTAAGAAAAAAATTTACTGGCTGGGCACAGTGGCTCACACCTGTAATCCCAGCACTTTGGGAGGCCAAGGCGAACGGATCAACAGGTCAGGGGTTCGAGACCAGCCTGACCAACATGGTAAAACCCCGTCTCTATTTAAAAAAAAAAAAAAGTACTAAGTTGTGACAAAAGGTGACATAGTTGTTTAATTCTCAATGCATCCCAAATAAAAATTCCAGGTTACATTCCCATTCCATTCAAAATCTTAAATTTGGAAATTCCAAACTCAAAATTAACACTATGAAATGGCTGGCTGTGATGGCTCATGCCTGTAATACCAACAGTTTGGAAGGCCAAGGTGGGCTACTGACCTGAGGTCAGGAGTTACAGAGACCAGCCTGGCCAACATGGTGAAACCCTGCCTCTACTAAAAATACAAAAAATCACCCGGGCGTGGTGGCACACCCCTGTAATCCCAGCTACTCCGGAGGCTGAGGTAAGAGAATCACTTGAACCTGGGAGGCGGAGGTTGCAGTGAGCTGAGAACTCGCCACTGCACTCCGGCCTGGACAACAGAACAAGACTCCGTCTCAAAAAAAAAAAAAAAAACTATTAAATGTCGTTAAAGATTTTGTATCACATGCAATCACTAAGGGAGTCTTTATAAAGCATCTTTCATCCAAGTATCATATAACCTAGTCATAACCTCTCAATGAAGGTGATAGGACAGGTACCACCTTTACATCAACCAAGAGTCTCCCCCTTAGGTGGAGGAAAAGAGTAGGAAACTTAACAAGTCACCCAAAGCACTGCTCTGATAATGCTGGCTTAAAAAAACTCAAAAAAGTTACTGTGTCGGCTGGGCATAGTAACTTTTTATTACAGTGGCTCATGCCTGTAATCCCAACACTTTGGGAGGCTGAGGCAGGCAGATCACAAGGTCAAGAAATCGAGACCACCCTGGCCAACATGGTGAAACCCTGGCTCTATCAAATATAGAAAAATTAGCTGGGCATGGTGGTAGACACCTGTTGTCCCAGCTACTTGGGAGGCTGAGGCAGGAGAATTGCTTGAACCTGGGAGGCAGAGGTTGCAGTAAGCCAAGATCTCACCACTGCACTCTGGGCTGGTGACAGATCAAGACTCTATCTCAAAGAAAAAAAAAGTTACTATGTTAAATACACCCTTGCCATAGTAAAAAGTTTTTAAAGAAAAGCTGATCACCAACTCTGTGAGGATGCAAAGGCTTAAGAATAACACAATGGCCGGGCGCGGTGGGAGGCTGAGGAGGGTGGATCATGAGGTCAAGAGATCGAGACCATCCTGGTCAACATAGAGAAACCCCGTCTCTACTAAAAATACAAAAAATTCGCTGGGCATGGTGGCGCATGCCTGTAATCCCAGCTACTCAGGAAGCTGAGGCAGGAGAATTGCCTGAGCCCAGGAGGCGGAGGTTGCGGTGAGCCGAGATCCCGCCATTGCACTCCAGCCTGGGTAACAAGAGCGAAACTTCATCTCAAAAAAAAAAAAAAAAAGAGAATAACACAATGGACTTTGGGAACTCCGGGAAGAAGGTAAGGAATAAAAGACTACAAATTGGGTGCTATGTATACTGCTTAGGTGATGGGTATACCAAAATCTCACAAATCACCACTAAAGAACTTACTCATATAACCAAATGACACCCGTTTCCCAATAACATAAGAAAATAAAAATTTAAATAAAGAAACAAAATGCTGGACAGGCACAGTGGCTCACTCCTATAATCCTAGCACTTTGGGACGATGAAGAGGGAAGATAGCTTGAGCCCAGGAGTTCCAGACCAGGCTGAGCAACACAGCAAGACTTGTCTCTACAAAAAATAAAATTAGCAGTGTGGGGTGACCCACGCCTGTAGTCCCAGCTACTCAGGAGGCTAAAGAGGTCAAGGCAGCAGTGAACTGTGATCACACCACTGCACTCCAGTTTGGGTGACAGAGCAAGACCCTGTCTCAAAATATACATATAAATTAAAAATTGAATAAAATACTGTGTATAAAAAGTAATTAAAATAATCCAAATGGTTTTATAGCTTTTAGGTCCCTCTCTAGTTTCTGTCATGCAAAAATGCCATTTTAGAAAATCCTGGTAACTGAAATGTACCAGAAAGAGTAATCAAAACCAGCTCTTGTCCAACTTGTAATTTATGAACTAGGATACACACAGCAAAGACCCAATCAATGGACAAAGTAATCCTATATATAGCACTTACACTTTCCTCCCAAGGGAAAGGTGGTTCAGTTGTAGGCTATGAAAAATAAGACTCCTACTTATTTCCAGGTGGGCCTCTTAGAAATATGCAAAATAGCCGGGCGCGGTGGCTCAAGCCTGTAATCCCAGCACTTTGGGAGGCCGAGGCGGGTGGATCACGAGGTCGAGAGATCGAGACCAACCTGGTCAACATGGTGAAACCCCGTCTCTACTAAAAATACAAAAAATTAGCTGGGCATGGTGGTGCGTGCCTGTAATCCCAGTTACTCAGGAGGCTGAGGCAGGAGAATTGCCTGAACCCAGGAGGCGGAGGTTGCGGTGAGCCGAGATCGTGCCATTGCACTCCAGCCTGGGTTAACAAGAGCGAAACTCCGTCTCAAAAAAAAAAAAAAAAAAAAAAAAAAGAAATATGCAAAATAAAGTAGCTGATGTAAGGTATTTCCACATATGTAATATTTCTTTACTTAAAATGTTTATATCAATGGCATGTCATCATTTGTCAGGATTATTTTTTCCTCAGGAGTACATACAATAATCATAGACTTGATGAAGTATGCTAATTCTCCAGATGTTCCTCTTAAAAATGTTTCAATTCAGTCTACAACTAATTGTTAACATAGTTTTTAAAATGTTTAATTATGTTATAAAACATATAGAACTTTGAAATAAAATTAATTCACCAAACTAATAAGATTAGCTTTGTAATTCCAAGTCTAGCAAAACAAACAAAAAATATCAGTTAGGGAAAAAAAAAATCCTCTTATATACTCTGGAAACAGATCTTACACTTTCCTCTGCCACTTAGTTTCGTGGCAGAGGAAAAATACTACTCTCAAATGCACTATGTATTTTTCAAAACCCATAAATCAGATTTGAGTCCTTCTAACACCAGTTATTTCCTCTATCAGCATAAAGATGAATCTTTCCAATGAGTTGTAAAGCTCAAAACCAGACAGAAAAATGCTCTGCAAGTCAACTAGTATACAGGAAAGAGCTAGACAATGAGGTTTACATTTGCTCCTGAGGTCAGAAACAGAAGGTTTGTGTGTCTTCATTAGTTTTATAAACCTCAGAAAGAGCTCCCGGACCTAACCAACACTGGTTCCTTGGTTTAAAAGAGTTAAAATCAGCTACCTTATAATCTTGACTCATTTGTTCAACAAATAGTTTTTGAATGATTACTGGGTGTTAAGCAGCCATTCAAGAGGACCTCTAAGATGTGACCCTTGAGCACCTCCTTTTAAAAAGAATGTTAAAATTCTGCTTGAACAAGTCACTACTGCCTGACGTCGAGCACCAAATCCCACTCGAAGTATATATTCCCACCCACCCGAACCAAAATAAATTAAGTTTTTTCCTAAAGCTAGGCCCTAAACAGCGTATAGGAGGAGGTGTATCTTACTGAAGTAAACCGCAATTCAAAACTGCGCGGTTTCCCGCTGGCAAAACTGACTTAGCGAAGGTCGGAAAGAACTCCAGGCCAATGAAAATTTTAATACAGAAGTGAAAGCGACGGTGCCCAATTCAGAAGCGGGACGAAAGAAAGAGGAAGGGTCTAAGAAATAAGTGAGTTGGAGGCGAGGAAATGCCCAGAAGCGGTCAAACGCGCTCTCCCCGCTGGGTACGTCAAGGTGGCAACTTTTCCAGCACCCCGGAACTCCCGACCGCCCAGCCCTCGGGCGAACAGGCACGGCTCGCGTTCCGGGGGTCGGGGGGACCCGAAAGGCTGGGAAGCGAGTTACCCCGCAAACCAGCAGGCTAGACACGGAGCGAGCTGGACGGGGGCGGGACCTGGACACACACACTTTCCCTTCGACGATGGGGGAGGGGGAACGGAGTGCGCGACCCGGGGCCACCAGCTCTCACGCGGGCCTGCAGGGGCGTGGGGGGAGGGGGGCCGGTGCAGCCCCGCGGGGCTAGTCTAGAACCGGCCTAACCGCCGCGGAACCCAAGGCCGGCGGGGGAATGGAGCGGGCCTCGCCGAGGGCAGGCGGGAAACGGGGTGGCGGGAAGACCGGAGGCTCGCCTAGCCCTAACGCCGCACAGGAGGCCCCGAACCTGCCCTGCCTCCGGCGGGCCCCGGGATAGCCACAGCAGGCCCCCACCCTCCCAAAGGGACGGGGTGGGAGCCGAGGAAGCCCCCACCCGACCCGCAGACACACAAGCCCGCTCGCCTCCCTACCCCCACCCTCGGGCCGCGCTCGCGGGCTCTGCGCCCCACAGCTGCGCGGGGGAGGCAGGGGCCAGCGGCGCGGCCGCGGGGAGCCAATGCCCTCCCCGACGCCCGGACCTCGACTCGCAGACAGAATCAACAAAGCACCGCCGCTCCCGAGGAGAAAAAACGCCACAGGCCCCGACCAGGGACTCTCCGACGCGTGGCTGCCCGGGCCGCAGGGCTGCGCGGACGGGCTGGGGGGAGGGGGTGGGGAAGGGCCCCGCTAGGTGGCTCCCCGGCCCGGGAGCCTCGCCTCCGCAGGGAAGCGGTGCGGCAGGGACCCCCACGCTGACCTTGGAGTCTCCGTTGCACAGAGCCATCGGGGCCAGGGCCGGGGCCGCGGCGGCGGCGGCGGCAGTACGAGACGGGGCGGGAGGGTCCCGGAAGGGTCGGCGCCGCGGGCCGAGGCTGAGAGGGACGCCTGGTCAAGGAGCAGCCGGCTACGGAGAGGAGCCAGCCGCCAGAGAAGCGCCGAAAGGAGCAGCAGCCGCGGAGCGCGGGCCCCAGCGCCGCGGGAGAGGAGACCAGCAGCGCGCACGCTGCCCCCGCCTCTTGCTTCCGCCCCAGCCGGCCACTGGGAGGAGCCAGAGCCCGTTGAGCTTGGCAGCCGAGCCTCAGATACCCTCCGCCGCCGCCGCCAAACCGGCCGGCCCTCGAGAGGAGGGGCTCGCGGCGGCTTGCCCCGCCCTCCAGGCCCGCCCCCGCCGGCAAAGCCGGCCGGGTCTCCGGAGGCCCGCCCTTGGGAGGAGGGGCCCGCGGCACCAGGCCCAGCCCCCGCCACGAAGGCCTGCCGGTGGAGAAGGAACCACGGAGGCGGGCGCCCGCCTCCGTCCCGCCCGCCCTCGGGAGGAGGAGACCGCGGCGCCCATCGGCTCCGCCCTTCCCGCCTTCCCACCGAGGAGCCCGCCCCGGGAGGAGGGGCCTGTGGCGCCGGCCCGGAGGAAAACCGAAGCCGAAGCGGAGCCGGTTTGCCGCTGGCCGATTTGCCTGCTGCCTGGGACGGCTGCGGGAGGCTGGCGGCACCGAGAAGGCGTCCTGAGAGCTGGGCCCCCGGCGGAACTCTTAGCCGGTGGTGTGGCCTTAGGGAGTCGGACATGAGGGAGGCCAAGACTGCTTTGGAAGGTTTCTTGGCCACATCTCAAGGACGTCGTTGTAGGACCTGATCACTTGGAAACTGTAAAAGTTATACAGCTCCCCACAGAAAGTTCCACAGCAGGTGCAGTATTTCCAAAGAGAAGGGAGTTTGGGAGTGGTCATCCGGTGAGCAGCTGGGCCAGGAAACTGGTCATGAAGCTCTGTTGGCACAGCAATGTTTTTATTGGGATTGTTGGTGGGAAAGGGGCTGCAAACCCTCCACCTACCCCTTGGCAACCACCAGGATAAGGTGTTACCTTGAATCTGGTTACCTAGAGGCCTAAATCGGGATTGGGGTATAAAGAATAATACTTGAGATGGCTTCCAGCTAACAAAGCCTTTCCACAAATATTATTATAATACAGCCAACATTTGCTGCGGTCCTCTAGTTAGGATATTAAGGAGCCAGTGAGAAAACACTTTGGAAACTAACTTTAACCAATCCCGTGAAAGCAGTAAGGTAGGATTGATATTCTTATCCTTTTTACAAATGAGGAAATTGGGGCTTAGCAAGATAATGTGCCTCTCAGTATAGAAGGGAAGGGCTCCCCAAAGTGGGAAGTAGAGAGCATATTAGTAAAATATTTACAAAAACAAATGACCCAAGGTCCTACTGGGCCTGAGACTTGTGTATTTCTCTTACCTTTTTTTTGAACTGAAAATTGAATATTTGAAATTTTCAAAGCCATGGATACTGGCTTCTCTAAGTAGGTCTGTATACACAATCTAACGAAGAGTGTAGTAACCAATAGGAGAGCAGCCTTAACTTACATAAACATCCACCCCAATGGAATGGAATGTGGTGTGATGTAGTGGCATTAAGGATTGGCTAAATCCCATCTATCTTAAACAATGCTTAGTTAAATATATTGTATATTTTTAAATATAGGTCAGGCATGGTGGCTCACACCCATAATCCCAGCACTTTTGGAAGCCGAAGCAGGTGGATCACCTGAGGTCAGAGTTCCAGGCTAGCCTGGCCAACACCATGAAACCCCATCTCTACTAAAAATACAAAAATTAGCCTGGCGTGGCAGCCTGCACCCATAATTCTAGCTAGAAGGGAGGCTGAGGCAGGCGAATCACTTAAACCCAAGAGGCAGAGGTTGCAGTGAACTGAGATCCCGCCATTGCATGCCAGCCTGGGTGACAAGAGTAAAACACCATCTCAAAATAAAAAAATAAATAAATTATAGTGGTCACCCGTGCTTATGGCTAAGAATGTTGGCATGCACACAATATAGGATCCTGATATTCTTAAGTTCTTCTTTAACTTCTGACTCTATTGACCCATCCCTCTTTGCCGAAACTGGCTTTTCCTTAAAATGCACCACAAAGTTGTATGTTCATCTGTGTGGTTCCTCTTGCTTGCTCTTGTTTCCTTTGCTTGCTCCTTGTCCTGTATCTGTCTTTCAGGAGTTGTAAGTGTTGGATTTCTTCCGTATTTCTATTCCTAATCCTTTTCTCATTTTACTCTTCCCTGGGGCAGTTGTTTAAAAACATAGATTTGTTGGCCAGGGGTGGTGGCTCACACCTATAATCCCAGCACTTTGGGAGGCAGAGGCAGGTGAATCACCTGAGGTCAGAAGTTCAAGACCAGCTTGGCCAGCATGGTGAAACCCCGCCTCTACTAAAAATACAAAAAATTAGCCAGGCATGGTGGTGGACACCTGTAATCCCAGCTTCTCGGAAAGCTGAGGCAGGAGAATTGCTTGAACCTGGGAGGCAGAGGTTACAGTGAGCCAAGATCGTGTTACTGCACTCCAGCCTGGGTAACAAGAGGGAAACTCCATCTCAAAATAAATAAATAAAATATAGACTTGTTTTCAAAATACCCTTAATAATGCCCTATGTTTTGACAACTCTCTACTGAGCTCTAGACCCAGATAACTATGTTCATCCCCAGTTCGATTATCAATGTCATGTTGGGCCCCAAACTCAGCAAGTTCAAACAAAACTTATCTCCCAAACTTCTCATTGACACTTACTTTTTTTTCTTTTGGCAGAGTTTCGCTCATGTTGCCCAGGCTGAAGCGCAATGACAATCTCAGCTCACTGCAACCTCTACCTCCCAGGTACAAGCAATTCTCCTGCCTCAGCCTCCTGAGTAGCTGAGATTACAGGCACCTGCAACCACACCCAGCTACTCATTGACACTTATTAGGGTGAAAACATTCAGTCTTTCACCAATGACCTGTAGGTTTTCATAGATGCCCTTTATCAAATTGAGAAAGTTTCTTTTTTTTTTTTTTTTTTTTTTTTTTTTGAGACGGAGTTTCGCTCTTGTTACCCAGGCTGGAGTGCAATGGCGCGATCTCGGCTCACCGCAACCTCCGCCTCCTGGGTTCAGGCAATTCTCCTGCCTCAGCCTCCTGAGTAGCTGGGATTACAGGCACGCACCACCATGCCCAGCTATTTTTTTTTTGTATTTTTAGTAGAGACGGGGTTTCACCATGTTGACCAAGATGGTCTCAATCTCTTGACCTTGTGATCCACCCGCCTCGGCCTCCCAAAGTGCTGGGATTACAGGCTTGAGCCACCGCGCCCGGCCGAGAAAGTTTCTTTCTGTTGCTATTTTGCTGAGAGTTTTGGTCAAGTATGGATGCTGTCAAATGCTTTTACTATGGCTATTCAAATGACTATCTAGTTTTTCTTTTTTCAGTTTTGAATGTGTTAAATTACATTTTGTTTGTTTGTTTGTTTGTTTGAGACGGAGTTTCACTCTTGTCACCCAGGCTGAAGTGCAATGGTACAATCTTGGCTCACTGCAACCTCCACCTCCCAGGCTCAAGCAATTCTCCTGCCTCAGCCTCCCAAGTAGCTGGGACTATAGGCGTGTGCCACCATACCCAGCCAATTTTTTATATTATTAGGAGAGACAGGGTTTCACCATGTTGGCCAGGCTGATCTCGAACTAACTCCTGACCTCAAGTGATCTGCCTGCCTCAGCCTCCCAAAGTGCTGGGATTAAAGGCATGAGCCACCATGCCCGGCCCTGTTTCACATATTTTGTCTGAGTTTTTTTGTTTGTTCCAGGCAGGAGGATAAATCCAGTACCTGTTACCTCCTCTTTGACAGAAGCAGAGGTCTGGAAACCTTTTTTTTTTTTCCTGTAGACCCATGTTCACCAAATGGAAGCCTCTTTTAATGATACATTGAGGCAGCTTAAACCTACAAGGTCTTCCTTCTTTACCTGTCATATAAATATTTTTGTTAAGGGATAAGGTTGCCCTGAATTCAGAAAAACTTAGGCAGCATAGAACAGTGATGTTGAGTCCTTTAAGTGATTTCTAGGACCAATACATTTTTCAAGATACATTTGATAAAACCCCCATATAGAAATTTCATACAACTTTTCAGATTTGGTATATATCATATCATAAAATATTTATTACAGGCACCACTATGTCTGGCTAATTTTTTTGTGTTTTTAGTGGAGACAGGGTTTTGTCACCTTATTTCATCTTTCAAAATGTTTAATATTTTCAACCTCCCATTAACAAAAAAATTAACTTTTAGATTTATGAAAAATATTAGTCGTTAAAATGTGGAAGGAGGTACACAGTTTTGCAAAATTATTTTATGGTAGTATGTGAGATGTTTTTGTTTTTATTATTTATTTATTTATTTATTTATTTAGAGACAGTTTTGCTCTTGTTACCCAGGCTGGAGTGCAATGGCGTGATCTCGGCTCACCGCAACCTCCGCCTCCTGGGTTCAGGCAATTCTCTTGCCTCAGCCTCCTGAGTAGCTGGGATTACGGGCATGTGCCACCATGCCCAGCTAATTTTTTGTATTTTTAGTAGAGATGGGGTTTCACCATGTTAACCAGAATGGTCTCGATCTCTTGACCTCGTGATCCACCCGCCTTGGCCTCCCAAAGTGCTGGGATTACAGGCTTGAGCCGCCACGCCCGGCCTATTTATTTATTTTTATTGAGACAAAATCTCACTCTGTTGCTTAGGCTGGATTGCAGTTGCGCAATCTCAGCTCACCACAACCTCCACCTCCTGGGTTCAAGCAATTCTCCTGCCTCAGCCTCCTGAGTAGCTGGGATTACAGGTGCACACCACTATGTCTGGCTAATTTTTTGTGTTTTTACTGGAGCCAGGGTTTTGCCATGTCAGCCTGACTGGTCTCAAACTTCTGACCTCAGGTGATCCACCTACCTCAGCCTCCCAAAGTGTTGGGATTACAGACATGAGCCATTGAGCCCAGCAACTTGTTTTTTTAATAGACGACAACCATTCTAAAATACAAATGTTGCTGGGCGCAGTGTACTCCCAGCACTTTGGGAGGCTGAGGTGGGTGGATCACTTGAGCTCAGGAGTTTGAGACCAGCCTCGGCAACATAGTGAAATCCCATCTCTACTAAAAATACAAAAATTTACTGGGCGTGGTGGCAGGCACCCATAGTCCTAGCTACTCGGGAGGCTGAGGCAGCGGAATCACTTGAACCCAGGAGGGGGAGATTGTAGTGAGCTGAGATCACACCACTGCACTCCAGCCTGGGCAACAGAACGAGACTCCACCTCT